GCTGTTTTGATTACAACTGCCTCGTAGTTTATCTTCCAAGTCATATTGTGATATATCTGACTCGGTTTTATTGGGATTTCATTTGTTTTTCAGTGTTTCTTGCCATTCCATATGAATTTTTGCATCATTTTAATGTGAAACTGAGAGGAATTCATAGATATTTTGATCTGAATTATATTGAATGTGTAGATTGGTTTTTGCTAGTATGGATTTTTTATTGTATTAATCCTACCAATTCACAAATATGGGTTTTCCATTTTCTGTTTTATTCTGTTTCTTCCATTTTTTTTTTAAATTTTAGCCATAGGAATCTTTCACATCCTTGATTAAAATGATTCTAAGATATTTAAGTGTTTTGTAGCTATTAAATGGGACTGATCCTACAGTTCTTTTTCAGCCATGGATTGTGTATTAAGGCTATTGATTTTTTAAATATTGATTTTATATCCTTAGAATATACCAGACTGAGTTACAATAATCTTTTAGTAGAATCTTGTGGTTTCCCTATTTAAAGAACCTTGCCATCTGCAAAGAAGCATAATTTGACTACTTCTTTTTCAATTTGTATCCCTTTGATTTCTTTTTCTTGCCTCATAATTCTAGTTAAAACTTTCAGGACTACACTTAATACACTTCTAGTTAAAACTTTCAGGACTACACTTAACACACTTAATACACTTAAAGAGTGAGCCTCCTTGTCTTGTTTCATATCTGCATGGAAATTCCTCCAGCTTATCCCACAATACGATGCTGGCTGTGGGATTTTGAATATATTCCCTTGGTTGTGTTGAGGGATGTCTATACTCAGTGTGTTTAAGTTTTTGATCAAGAAAGGATATTTTATTGTGTCAAATAATTTCTGTGAGTATATTGGAAAAAATCATACTGTTTTTTATTCTTTAGCTTATTAATGCAGTTTATCACATTGATTATTTTATGTTGAACAATCCCGGTATATCATGGACAAATCCCACTTGTTCTGATGGAATGATCTTTCTGATATGTTGTGGATTCAATGCGCTAGTATTTTGTTGGGGATATTTACAACAGTGTTCATCAGGAATATTGGTCAGTGGTTATTTATCTTTGTTTATTTGTTGTTTTTAGTTTTGACTTGATGTGATGCTGGCCTCATAGGAGTTTGAGAGCATTTCCTCCATTTCAATTGTTTTTAATTGTTTGAAAATTTTGGGATTATTTCTTGAAAAGTTGGGTGGTATTCTACAATGAAACCATTTTTGGTTTTTGGGAGTATACTTAGTATTGAGTTAATCCCAGGCTTACTTATAAGATCCATTTACATTTTTGCTACCATACTGATTCAATTAGGTAGATTGTGTACATCCATAAACCTATCTATCTAATCTAGATTTCCAGATTTTTTTCTTTTGGTGTCTAGCTCTTTGTAATTCCTGATAATTCATTGTATATCTGTTGTGCTTTTATATCCCTTTTTTCATTGTTGATTTTATTGATTTGCATCTTCTCCCTCCCTTTTAGTCTGGTTCATTGGGCCAAAGGTAACAATTTTTTTCATTTTTGTGGAGGAGGAAAGCAGTGTTTCAAGTCACTAATATTAGATATATTTCCTTGTTTCAATTTTATTTATTTTTCTGATGTCAATTATTTTCCCCTATTAACATTGGAATTAGTTTCTCATTCTTTCTTGGTCCTTGAGATGTGTTGATAGATCATTTAGTTCATGCCTTTTTAATTTGTTGATGTAGGCACTAATTGTTATGAAATCACACCTTAGCACTGATTTTGCTGTATTGTATTAATTATGATATGTTGTGCTGTCATTTTCATTTGTTTCCAGAAATATTTTTATTTATAGCAAGACTTTCTAGATTTAGAGTAAGCAAACTCAGTGAAGAAGCAGGGTGTAGCTGTCTTCTCCATTTGAAAATCATATTGAAGAATCCATTTTAACAATTACAAATCCACAAAGCATCTTTCCTCTCACTATAATTTTGGTTTTTGAAATGACTTATTTTTAAAACCTGTTAAATGTTTGAACCTGCTGTGGGTTTATTGGTTTTAAAAATAATAATTCTATATTTCTCTTGTACAGTAGATCTGGAGAAACGGCATATATGCAAAAGCTCTTCTGGATAATTTTTATGCTATAAAGGAATGTAAGACCAAAATTGTTTTTGAAAATTCATCACAAATTTTAATTGAAAGAAGAATATACATATTGAGTATCAGATCATTTTCAAAACATGTATACCCTGCATCATGTTCAACTATTAAACACTACTTTAGGTGAAAACAATCAAAACCCCATTCTTTAGTTTCCCCTTCTTCTGAAAAAAAAAATATACTATCATTGCTAGTAGTCAGATAACTGTTCAGTAGAATACTCAAAATATTTCTTACTCTAGCTTAAAACCCACCAAGTATCCTTTCCACAACTTTCCCTCTACTAGAGTTCCCAGCTTCTAAAAAATACCTTTGTACTCTCCACATGTGTAAAGTAACTTTCTCACATTCCACACATGAAATAGCCTTTGTTTTCCTGTGCTTGGCTTGTTTCACGTAACAGTGATTTCCTGGTCCGTCTGTGTTGTTGGAAATGAGTGTTTCTGAAAGCATTTTGAGAACCACTGGGCCAGACCAAATGTGCTTTATGAGTAACGTAAGGCTCTACAGCAAAGCAGCCCGGGATCTAGTTTTTCAAAGAAAATAAAGTATGTGTGCATTAGTCTTAGTGGTAGAAATGACCTTTGGATAACATATTGTTCCTGTGCCTTGTATTTCACTTATCCTAGAAAGAAATCAGTAATTAGTGTTCTCTGCATGGAGCCCATGAATTATGAATTGTCACTGAAACCAGATATTTAAATGTGACTCTTTTGACTTACTTGCAGCAAGAGTCTAACAGGTCGAGAAGCAAGCATTAGATGATAAATCTCACAGCTCCAAAGTGAGGGTCTAGAACCTGTAGCATTTTCAGAATCAGTTTTAAAAGTTGGTTAAACAACACATGGCTTAGTTGACAGCAGGTTGTTGGGAATTAAAGAATTGCTTTGGATTTGGGCATTCATGTGCTTTGGATCTCTGAAGAGAAGACCTGGATAGAGCTTTCCTCTCTCACAGAGCCATTGAATGTAGCTTTGTAGACAACATGAAAATCTTCATATGAGAGACATAGCCACAGCAGCCCCCTGTCCCATAGCAAGGAGGACTGAAGTGGGGAAGTGTGAGGCACTTAGCCCTCAATGGGAGGGACATGTGTTTGAGGCTGAGTTGGCAAGCAGTCTGTATTTATAGGCATCAACAGTAGGAAATTAGGAATGTTGTCTCTGGAAGCAAATATTAAACAACAAGCTTGGAGACCTCATTTTTATTAACTGTATTATATGTAATTTACAATACACTTACTACATCATTACCTCTGTTATATCATGTTTACAAGACTTATAAGAATAGTGGCAAAAAACTCCCTCTACAGTTTATCAAACAGGCATACATGTTTTATTCTTTGTATGTTATCCCAAGTATTTAAAATGTTATCCCAAGTATTTCATCATGCTTTTTCTTTCCACTCTTTCCCCCCTATTTTTCTTTCTTTACATACTTCTTTGTCCTCAAACATGTACTTTTTTCTTTTTCTGATTGTCTGGCTGCAGTTTCATGGTTCTTTTTCCTTAAATTAAGAGACTGTTGATATTTCCAAAGAATGTGCACATTTTTCTTATAGAAGCACATTACAGTAGTCAGTATGAGGCAAATGCCCTTTAATCCACTGTGAATATACCCAACCTATAGCAGATGCTGTTTCAAATTCCTGAGACTGCTATATAGAAGTGCATGTTGCCCAGAAGTGAGAACTGCTCATCCTGTAGGGCTGCAAGAGAAAATGTGAGGAACAAACACATTAAAATGCATAGAAAGGTATTAAGTGAGATCAATAGGATGTACAGTGTACTCTGAAAGATGCTGCTGGGGGAAAAATACACAAGTTACCTGTTTTAATAAAATGCCAAGTTCTATCCATGCAGAGTTTTACCACTTAGGCAGTGATGATTGGTCTAGAACTATTTTCATAGAATGCATGTATCACACACACAGGACTGAATTCAGAGTAATTTTTCCTTAGAGGCAAATAATTATCAGAGCCATCATTGCTATCACTTTCCTGTGAATCCAGAGTCTCCTCAACATCATTCCAGTTTCTCTAGGCTGACCTTAAATTCTCAAAACTGAAACCTAAACCTGTGATGATATTTGCTTGTTGAGCTTTATGGAAGCATTGGGAAGACTTGAAATGAAGCTTATTGAGACTGGCTGTTTCTATCGCCACTTTAAAAATCATGACCTAGTTTAATAGCTTGCTTTGAGGATATCATTTCATATGCCCAAATTTAGAGAAGAAAAAGTATACTGTGGGCTAGTTTCCAGACTATTGCATGTTATAGAATAAAACATGTATGCAGCACACATAATTACATTAAATGTGATGTGTGTGTTCATTTCTTTGTACATGTGGTCTGTGTTGTATGCATGCAGTGTATATATGAATATACTTGCATATCTGTGTCATAGGATTTGACTACAAATAATAAATCCTGTGTGGTTATAGTAATTTTCTTTTAATAGGTGTTTTTCATTTGTAAGTGACCTTTTGAGAAATTTGGTGATACTGATAGCTATTTTTATTCTAGGCACATTTTGGTCTTACTATAGAGAAGTAACTTACATTTTTTATGAGAATATAACTACTTTGAAATTAATCTTTCCCTTCATGGTAAATTTAGGATATTAAAAATACAATACTTAAATTTTTGAAATATAGCTTTGACATAATAATTATATTTTAAATATTGGATTGTTAATTTTATACATCATTTGAGTTTCTCATAATTTTAAATGAAGTAGTAGTCAAGCATGTTGAAACTACTTCATTTTAGAAATTTAAATTAACATTGGCCACGGAAGTTTAACTTCTGAAAGTTTAACTTTCAAAGGAGAGATTATAAAGTTCTTGAGTGAAGGAATAATGTCTTTTTCGTAGATATATTCTAAATGCACAGAGTTCTGAAAGCCTGCAGATCTTTAAGGCCTACATGTCCTGGATTTAAAAATACTGAACTGATACTCAAAGAAACAGTTGCATTCTATGTATGTGTAATGTAGTTTGTGTGTTGATCACTGAACCATCTGGTGCTTGACTCCTCAAATGGGAGCAAAATTCAGAATTCGTTTAGGCTGAAGACAGGAACCTCTTCTGATTCTGATGTTGTGCAGTTGTCAAAATACTTGCGCTATCTTCTTCTACTCTCCCAGGCACCTTAGCAAGGAGATGGATGATAAGTGGAGTAGCTAGGACCTAAAAACATGACAGACACCTATATGGGATGCTGGCATGACAAGCAGCAGCTAAACTATGCCACAGTTCCAACCTGCATGTTTTTTAAAAAACATGAAGTACCTATTGGGTGATGGAACTATTGAAGTTACTCCTCCAAAGTATTCCTTTTATATTCTCATACATTTCATCAATCTATTTACACAAGTTAGAATTACTGGTTGAAATTGTTTTAATATGTTAATTGCCTCAATGAAAAATTAAGATCCCATATAGTGAAATCATAGAATGCATTGATGACATATATATTTGCAAATGCGTGTATAGATAGTGCAATAATTGCCACAAATTAACACATCCATCATCACACATGCCATACCTTAGAGCCCCAGAAATCATACTTCTTTTACTGAATATTTATACTTTTTGTCCAGCATCTCCCCATTTCCCTTACCATCCAACCTGGTAACTACTGTTCTCCTCCTTGCTCCTATTACTTTAGTTTCTTTAGATCACATGTAAGCAAAATCAAATAGTGTTTGCCTTCCTGTGTCTGGCTTAGCAGAATGCCCTCTAGGTTCATTCATGATACAAAAATGCTTGGATATACTTCTTTACTTAAGGCTGAATAATAGTCAATTAAATTGGTACCAATTTTTTTTTAGTTTATTTTTCCTGTTCATACACTGATGACATTGAAGTCTTTTGCATAATGCTGCAATTAACATGCAGTACAGATATCTCTGATTTACTAATATCATAGCTTATGGGTATATAAAAAAAACAGATTTCAACTCACATCACTTAGAGTGGCTATTGGAAAAACAAGTGTTAGTAAGGGTGTGGAAAATAAGAGAGCCATTATACACTCCTAGTGCAAATATATACTATCACAGCCTGTATGGAAAATAATATGGAGTTCCCTCAAAAAACTAAAAGATTACATGGCATGGCTACCATGCACCACTGTACAAATCAATTTTAAAAATTGTGATTAAAGTCACTATTGAAAGTTAGTGTTAGAGCAAATATATTTTTGAATGCTTCTCAAAATAGAGCCAAGAAAGAGTAAATTAGGGCCCAGCGCGATGGCACAGTGGTTAAGGTCCTCGACTTGCACGCCCGGGGTCCCATTTGGGCGCTGGTTCTAATCCTGGCAGCCCCACTTCCCTTCTCAGCTCCCTGCCTGTGGCCCGGGAAAGCAATCCAGGATGGCCCAAAGCTTTAGGACCCTGCACCCGTGTGGGAGACCCGGAAGAGACTCCTGGCTTCAGATCGGCATAGCATCGGCCGTTGCGCTCACTTGGGGAGTGAATCATCGGACAGAAGATCTTCCTCTCTGTCTCTCCTCTCTGTATATCTGCCTTTCCAATAAAAATAAATCTTAAAAAAAGAGGAAGAGTAAATTAAATTGAATATATAAGTTTAAATATTTACTGCCCTTTTCTGGCTAATATAGATTGAAAATTATCAGCAGCTTTTAACTCAGGGATTGATTCGGCATCACCTGTGAAATTGTTTTGTTCATGTATTTAATGTTTATCGATGAATCTTCAGTTAAGTTATATTCATGTAGCTGTGGTGTTGACATAGGAGTCTACCAGCAGGTTACAAGTTCATCAGTAATAGTTTAAGAATGTTCTTTATGATGTCCTACAGAATTGTATGGAGTGTAAAGATAATTTATCAATAAACTGTGTCATTGAGATAATTATTTTCCCCCTTTACTCAATCGTAGAAAGAACAGCAACTTTAACTGAATGTTACATTGCTAACAAGATATATAATTTAAATTTTAGCATGCTGAAGAGTCGCTCTGTTTAGTTTTTATCTCAGCTTCATTGTCAACGCTTGTTTTTTTCCCTTTGTGTATAGATTGTCAGCATCATACATAATTGATTATAGGGAATTTTGTGATTAGTTAATATTAGACTGTGACTTACTCTTCAGTGAGATGAGTTGCAGTGTTATATACCTGCCTATGAAAGAAACAAATGTTATATATTTAAATAATATAATTCCAAAAAGTTTCTCTTATTTTTTATCCAAGTAATGTGCCACGGAATTAAATGGAAAATTACCAAAGAAAACTCCCAGTTTTGCTATATCAACCCCTTGGGAGAATCACTCTTTATACACTGTATTTGTTCCTTGTTGTTTAAATGAATTCCACATAAAGTTGGCTATTCTATGGACCTGTGTTTCCAGGCAATCTTCTCTCTCTTTCCTGTATTCACCTGTCACATCACCCTGTCTAGAATGTAAAGCATGTCATCTTTTTCTACCTCAGGATATTTGTTGCTCTGTGACTGGCACCTTTCACTGAAACAGATGTCTCTAACAAATTTCATGAAAACAGAAGTTATCCTCCGAGGACCTGATGTCATTAGTATTTCTACTATTTCATTTCATGTTAGTTATAAATGGATATAATTGCCCTTGTACCAGTCCATCTTCTGGATTAAAATTTCTTTAGAAAAGAAATATCTGAAAAGTTCAGACTTTTTGTGCCTTTATCAGTTCTTGGAAAAGTATCCTGCCTAAAGTATCTAATCAGTAAAATAATTTGAATGAACATGTATTACAAATGAATTACAGAAATTACTTTGGCAAGGCAAATACATAATACAATGTCACTAGTTCCAGAGACCTGGCAGGGTCATTCTGTAGCACACACTTGGCACCAATGAGAGCCAAGATAGGTGCAGGCCAGGTTGGACTGCAACACACACCAGGTTGCATGGGGGCGGAAAATCAGCTAGGCTGCTGCACCTGTTAGCAAGAGCTGGACTGGGGCAGGCAGGGCTGACCCAGGCTGCTCTCAGATGGGGGCAGGTCCTCTCAGACTGGGTTGCAGCACACACTGGCATCTACAAGACGTAGGGGCTAGGAGTACACCTAGTATTGGAACCTCTGGAACTCACCTTCTCTACCACACCTTTCATGGGTAAACATGAGAGCTGGGACTGGGGGCGGTCTAAGACTAATAAGGTGGTGGCACCTGTTGGCATAAATTAGGGCCAGTTCTGGGGTGGGTCAGGCTGAGGAAAGACACAAAGTGGACTTTGTCAACTAGTAAACCTAGTAAAGATTTTTTTTCAACCATAGAGTAATGAAACCAACAGCTTCAGAACTGTTAAAAACCACACAAGTAACCTGCTTAGAATGCTCTTCCTCACATTGGGGTCTCTAAGGCATCATCAAAGGATCATCACTATGCCCAGGTACTGATGCAGTGGAGTGAGGGCCAGGCACCATCTCCTCTTTTCATAAGGATGCAGGAAGGAAGAAATGAAACGTCTGTCCCAACCACCTTTCTCCACACCTGAACCTTCTCACCCTACTTAGAGGTCCACATAGGCATGCATCCCTCACAACTATGTAAAGAATATTAAAAAGAAAATAATTTAAGTTTCATTCAAATCAAGTTGAGGCATAGAATAATTTTGTCAGCTCTACTTTGTCTTAAAAACATACCTACAATGATTTTCAGTGACAATTATCAGTTTAAATAGCTTGACTTCTTCTCAGTCCTATGTTATGTCTTCAGTAGGGTTTTACTAAGCATCAGTTCTTATCTCCAAACCATATTGACTTTCACAACCAGTATGAACATTCCAGAAAGGATGCAGTACAAATGTGTTTGCTATGAGCAAACACCTAAATATTGAGGACTTAATATCCATAAAAGGAAAATGCACAGTGTGAAACACAGAAATAAAATCTTTCTGAATTGCAGATAATCTGTTATAGCTTATTGGAAATTTTAGGGTAATTTATGTCAGAAGCTTAAATTGCACGTATCAATTCAGTTCTTACTGTCTCTTAAGTTGCTGATCCTTCTCAGTTACTCTGTTGTGTAATTTTCATGATAAACATGCAGCAGAATTAATCTTTGGTTCTTCTCATAAATTTTAGTAGTGAAATACATGGCTCACAGGCAAGTGTGTGAAGCTTTGGGGTTGAGGATAGTAGGTACTAGTCTTTTATGCTATGACGTGAGAAACAGTGTGATGGTACAGAATCATCATACATGTCACTTTCAGAATACCTGTTCATGACAAATATCCAAAGTAGTTGCCCACATATAGCAAAGTAGCTCCTGTCCTCTTTTTTTCTATTGTTTGTCTCAAGGTATGTTGAAATGTGCAAGATTTATGTAACCATCTACAAATAAATACAGATTATAAATCTAAATAAACAAATGTAATGGAAGAGTCAATTATTTTTATGCCTTACGTAATAACTGTCCTGTGGAAATCAAGTGACTTTTTTCACATGACTATCAAGACCAGAGTTGGATCATATATTGAATCTGTCTGCATATAATTGTAGCTTCTTGATTGAGTTTTACCACCAATTTAGCAAAACAAATTCTAAATGAGAAAATGATGTGCAGAGGAAAGGGAATGATTTAATCCTCCAAGAGTTCAGGTTAATAAACATTTCTTTAGAACTTGTTTAATTGAGCATGTGTTTCTTTAAAACATGCAACATGTAGACTGAGTTAAAGAAAAATTAGGATGTGTGTGATTCTTTTGTGAACTTGTGGTTAAACTACAACGAAAAATATTCATCATCCTTGAACTTTAATAATAGAAATGAATTTTATGAACAAATTTTGTATGCTATAAATACTATTGAAATAGAACTTCAGAAAGGAATCTACCAAGTTAATGAAACTGGCTTTGTG